GATATAATTTATACACAGAAAATCCCAAAGATTCAGTAATTGATAGTTTAAGCAAAGTGGCAGCATACAAGATAAACATATAAAAATCAATTGGATTCCTTTACACTAATGAAAAGAACTCTGAAAAAGAAACCAGGAAAGCAATACCATTTACAGTAACTACACAAAATATGAAGTATTTAAGAATAAATCTAACCAGAGACATAAAAGACATATACAAAGAAAACTATAATTATAAGAAACCAAAAGAGAAACCTACATAAATAGAAGACTATACCATGCTCATGAACAGAAAGACTTAATGTTGTGAAAATATCAGTACTACCCAAAGTGATCTACAGACACAATGCAATCCTGATTTAAATTCCATCATCTTTCTTTAAAGAGATGGAAAAACTAATCACCAACTTTATATGGAAAGGAAAGAGACCCTGGATAAGTAAAGCACTACTAAAGAAGAATACAGTAGAAGGCTTCACACTCCAGGATCTCAAAGCCTACCGTACAGCCATGGTAACTGAAACAGCTTAGTACTAGTACAACAACAGATACATAGACCAATGGAACAAAATTGAGAACCCAAAAGTAAATCCATCCACCTATGGACAGCTGATCCTTGACAAAAGGCCAAAACAGATTAAATGAGGAAGAGACAGTCTCTTTAATAAATAGCACTATTGGATAAGCAAAAAAGGATCCATATCTCACACCATATACAAAATCAAACTCAAATTGGATCAAAAGCCTGAATGTAAAACCTAAAACCATAAAGATCATCAAAGGAAAAATAGGAACAAACTTAGGATCCCTATTCAGGGCATAAATACACTATTGAGTATAAATAAAAATGCACAAACACCAGATATCGAATAGATGACTGGAAATTCCTAAAAATTAGACACATGTGTGCACCAAATGACTGGAATAAAAAGTAAACAAGAGAACCCACAGACTGGGAAAAAAGTTTTGGCAATGACATAACAGACAAGGGGCTACTCTCTAAAATTTATAGAAAAGTTCAACAACTTAAGAACAGAAAGATGAATAATCCAATTAAAATATATGCAGAGGATGTGAACAGATACTTCACAAAGAAAACATTCAGGCAACTAACAAGCACATGAAAAAATGCTTCTGATCATTAGCCATTAGGGAGATGCAAATCAAAACAACAATGAGATATCATTTCACCCCAGCACTAATAGCAAAGTTTAAAAAAACAGAAAAAATAAATGCCGATGAAGTTGTGGAGAGATTGGAACCTGCATACACTGCTGGTAGAACTATAAAATGGTGCAACCACTGTGCAAAATGGTATGATGCTTCCTTAAAAAGCTGGAAATAGAAATGCCATATGATCCAGCAAGCCCCTTAGTAGGTACCTTCCTAGAGAAATAAGAGCCATGACATGAACAGATATAGACACACCCATGTTCGTCACAGCACTATTCACAGCAAAAAGATGGAAACAACCTAAATGCCTATCAACAGAGGAATGGATCAACAAACTATGGTACATACACACAATGGAATATTATGCAACATTAAAGTACAATGATGAATCTGCCAAACATCTCATAACATGGATGAGGGGTCAATGACAAAGGACAAATATTTTATGAGACCACTACTATAAAACAAGAAAAGGGTTTCCACACACAAAAAAGTATTATTTGATGGTTACGGGGGCTGTACACGTGGACTTCACCAGATG